GCGTCAGAAAATAACACCCTCTCTCTTTTCCTCCGTACCCAAATCTCTAAAAACGGGGCTACAACGGAGCTGATCCAGATTTGCGTCCGATATGACGTCATATCTGAAATGTGGAAACCCACGGCACTATCAGAAACGTTGCTATCAGAAACAATGCCCGATTGTTTTGGACGTAATATGGTCGGAGTTTACATTAGCATCGCTAACACTCAGAGCTAACCTGTACTGGAGAGCATGTGTGTGAAGAAGCAGGAAGTAAAAAGGAACTCACCTTGTGGTATAACCGGCAAGAGAGAAAGCCTTTGAGCTCCATACTGTTTCAGAAATAATCCTTGATAATCCATGATATGGCGTTTCATCACCGCAGTATTTAGTTGACAGTAGCTGCCGGTCCCGCATGAGCTCAGCCCCCTCCTTTTTTATTTGATCAATTTCTTCTTCTTTTTTAAGCTTTATACCCAAATCAGCACTTTTGAAACAGGAAGTGAAATAGAGGGATATGAGGCATGGCTAGAAGGGTTGATCTGTTTGGTATTTTGAGCAAAACACTTCATAGACATGTTTTTTATATATTTTTATATATCTGAGACCTATGCTATTGCCTAAAAATAGCATGATAGGTGACCTTTAAACTAAATTCAGTTCTACAGTACATCAACATTTCTGTACTCAATCCTCTGATACTCTGCCTTTTAATTTCTTTCTTTCATCATTAACTTATCAGGAATACTGTTCGTAATCACTGCACTGAGTAATTGAATAACTTAATAGACTATCTGTCATCGTAAAGTTTCTGAAACTTTAGAGTTCCTGCATATTGTTTACAATAAAACCCCTCCAAGGATTTGCCTCTTCAAGGCTTCTAGTGTCAAACAGGTGGAAGAAATGCTGACAGTAAATTGAAGTAACAGAAGACAGAAAATGTCATGTTAAAATGTATTTTAAGAGTATTGGGTGTCCTGATGATATTGGGTTTTAAGATGACCATGATTATTGCACTTCATGGTTTGAGTCCAGCCCTTGACATTTCTTTCGTGTCCTGTCACATTTTTATGAGGGCTGCCCAAATAATCACTAAAATATGAGCAAATGCAACATACAAACGCAGTAAGCAACACGATATTTTTTTATATAGTTTTAAAACGATAATGCGAATTATGTTTCCAAATATTCCATTAATATTTCTATAATCACCAATTTTTTTGTCTTTCAAATCGTGAAGCCCTAATCTCTACTGTCAAAGAAAAAAAGGCAGGCACATCATACTGTGCAAAGAATAATAAAGGAGAAATGAGGGGTAAAAGTTTCTCTCCAATCTCAAATAAAAGACTGCTTCTCTCTACAGTTGAGGTAAATAAAGCCTCCAGCTACTATTTGTGAATTTATGGTATACAGAATAAATATAGGGTATCTGACAGAGCCTTGCAGCCAACTGCCCACACATCTTTACACCAGAAGCAAACCGAAGACAGAGACTTGATATTTTATGTAGCTGTTAAGACAATACTGTTAAAACATTCATAATTTCTTAAACTTCAATGTCGCCTAATGTTCCCTAATCTTAATCATGTTCAACTTCTGTTGGCAAATGTGCTCCAGAGTCTGGTGGTTAGTGAAGCAGAAGCTAGATATCCCAAAAACAAATATAAAATAAATCCTGCTGAACTTCTGTAATAGTCAAGGCTAGCTCTGGCAAATTTAATTAGCAGATTGGAATAAAGCATTTGAAATGTGTGTGTGCATGAGTGTGTGTGTGTGTGTGTGTGTGTGTGTGTGTGCGTGATCTGATGGGATCAATAGTGGTCTGGGAGGCCCAGTTGGCAGCTGCTGGGAGCAGAAACAGGTGCAGACATGGCTGCTTGATGTACAGGCGACTGAAATGAGATGAAACCACTTGACCCCCAGAAGAACCAATTAATTACACTAAATCTGATGCTACAGTGGCACTCTGATTAGCTCGACTGTGGCACATCAGCGAGGAATGCCTGCTTACAGCACAGCCCCCCCTCCTTCTAAAATGTATCCACATATCAGTTTGAAATAAAGAGAAAGATAGTC